TTCCTGTCAGTCCGGCCGGTTACAGGAAACAGAAACTCCTGTTCCGCGCAGAGTTTCTGTTTCCTGTCACCGGCCGGACTGACAGGAAGTGCACACTCAGTGTGCCCCTTCCTATCACTCCGGCCGGCCACCGCGGACCGGAGTGCAGCTCGGCCACGCTACAGGGGAGGGAGGGGAGAAGCTGCAGCCGCCCGAGGCTCAGGTGGCTGCAGTATTTAAAGGGCCGGCCCAGGAACGCGGCCGGCCCCCAGGTGCCGCGGCCCACCGGGAAATTTCCCGGTATCCCGGTGGGCCAGTCCGGCCCTGGTAATAGGACACTGGGAGGGGGAATGAGACACCTAAAAAAGGATGGGAGTGGTTAATGAGACACCTGGAGGGGCTGGGAGAGGGGATAAGACACCTGGAGGTGCTGGGAGGGGGTAATGAGACACCTGGAAAGGCTGGGAGGGGGTAATGAGACACCTGGAGGGGCTGGAAGAGGGGATAAGACACCTGGAGGTGCTGGGAGGGGGTAATAAGATACCTGGAAAGGCTGGGAGGGGTTAATGAGACACCTGGAGGGGCTGGGGGGTAAATGAGACACATGGAGTGTCTTAAACGAACCAGAAACAAGTGCAGTGCTACATTCAACAAGTGCAACATGTGGTTGAGGAGGAAGATTTCAATATGGTATGTCTTATTTTAATGTTCTTACAACATATATGTATTTGCTATGCTTTCATCTTGTATTTGTACTTCATAATTAAGGTTTTCAATGGAAAAATTTGTTGGTCAGGAACGGAACCCATGTTTATTACATTACGGTCTATGGGAAATTAGTTCTCACTTTATGAACTCTCACTTTGTGAACTATGCTTCGGAACCAATTAGTTCGTAAAGTCGGGAACTACCTGTACTTGTATTTTTCACACCACACCAGAAATTATTTGTTAAAAATAATGATAAATAAGCAGTATTAAAAAAAAAAAAAAACAGGAGAAGTAGCAGTTTCCCTTTAAGAATGTTTGTCCTTTTAACCTTTAAAACATGCAAAAAATGAACATCATTCAGGATTAATGTCCCACTACAGATGTTATTTTGAAGTAACTAATAGGGAGAGATGCTGGATATTCACGATCTGCACAGATTTCTTTAGTGTGCATATAGACTCATGCAGTGGATTGTAATCCTTTATAATGTACAGGTATTGTAAATAGGATAATAACTATGGGTTTATTCAACGGAGAATAAACTGGAATTGTATGGAATTGACCAGGTAATTGCAAAATTCAGTCAAACATAATTTAGCCTGAAATAACCAAAATTTTGACATGAGCTGCACAATTCTATTGTCTGCCTTCCACAATCCTCAGCTACATGATGTTTCATTGCACATTATATTACTTGGAAAATTATGTTGAAAAAAACCTTTTTAAAGTTTCCTAATTTTTTCAAATAATTGCTATTTATTACTAACATTATTGACCAATTAAAAAACTGTGAAAGTGGTCAGATATTGTGTATAATGTTATAATCATATATAACATTTCTAATGGATGCTATTTGTGCTGTAAAATGTTCATGTTTAGCGCAATAGCTAAAAATAAATGAATTGTGATCTGACCCTAAACACGTTACCGTCGATGTTAGAAATGGCTGATTGGAATCACAGATAGCTTGGACAGTGAGCAAATGGAAATGTTTTCTGTCTCTAAGCAGAGATGTCAATATGGATACGCTCCGTTGCATCCAAAACATCTGATAATGAACAAAATTGATAGAAAACGACATCACGTTTAACCCTTTAATAGCAGACTGCAGACATTTAAAACCCATTGCAGATAGTAATACGGATGTGACGGAAACATTCGAAAGAAAATAAAAATAAAAGTTTTTTTAATGCAAAAGCATAGACAAGGTTATTAAAATCTATAACAAGTAACTGAAAGGGTTTCTAAGTATTAAAAGTAGCGTGTCAAATGTCCCGTTTATTTCGGTAAAAGTGTGTCAGTGGACCTGCTCTGTGAAATCTGCTTAGTTTGTGAACAGTGTTAATAAATAACTAATAAACAAACTGAACTGCAGTGATTATTTCTGCATAGAATACTAACTATATCATGTTATGTCAACTTCCTGCAGCGAATTCCATGGCTTGCAGCGAATTCCTATGATTTTCTTCTTCTGTAAAGAACTGGGAATGTTCCCCATAGCATATTCGATAAACTGTACATTTCCCAGTTTATAAAATAGATGCAAAACTGTACATGTGCAACAGAGCTGTCTGCAGAGCTCCATTCAATTAAATAACGAATGAAGCCCTCATGCAAATGAACAAAAGGCTTCATCGATCCAACCATTGACTTGAATAAGCCATTTTTTCCTCTCTTTTTTTCACTGAAATAAGGCAAAATCGTTACTTTGATGGAAATTACACCATCAAATGAAATATTGGCAATCACCCATAATTTGTGTTAACCTGTTTTTTATGTAATACTTTGTTTTTTATCTAAAATGTATAGTAAAGCTTTATCAAGGAACATCGCGATCCAGTTCAGTCCTCACCCCAAAAAAAATATTTACTTATAGTCAATAAGTAAACATAATACGATAAATCTTGGAAAGCTCTCTCTTAAACTCTGCAAGTGGCTTTGTTACAGCTGTGCAGTTCTTCTATAAAACCTACAATACAGTTTACAATTCCTGCTCTCGAGTCCTTCGCTTGTTTTCCATGATGTACTGTCAACCTTGGACCGTTGGTGCCTGCATTTTCTTTTACACATTAAAAAAAGTAGCAAATTAACTTGTTGGACAGTCTCTCAAAGTTTTGTGTGGGCTACAAAAAAAGTTAAAGCCCTAAATTTGTTTTGTTTATTTATTTATTTTTAATTGGAACTTGTGTCTAAGGGCAGAAGATGAAGATTCAAGAACACCACTCCACATCTCTTTGTAATATAAGTATTTATTTTGCATAAAAAGCTTATTGTTTGGCAGAAAGTACAGGCAGAGAATAAAAAAGAAAATTACATATTAATAAATCAAAATGTGCTTAAAAGATAAGTGCTGTGCCCAGTGCCCAGTGCCCATAACCCACAGGCCCGGTGTTTTTTTTCCTCTGTGGGTTATGGGCACTGGGCACAGCACTTATTTTTTAAGCACATTTTGATTTATTAATATGTCATTTTCTTTATTATTCTCTGCTTCTATGCCTGTCTGGCAAGTTTAAAAGGGAGAGAGGCTTTGTAATTTAAAGGGAAACTATAGTAACCTGAACAACTTTAGCTTAATGAAGCAGTTTTGGTGTATAGAACATGCCCCTGAAGCCTCACTGCTCAATCCTCTGCCATTTAGGAGTTAAATCCCGTTGTTTATGAACCCTAGTCACACCTCCCTGCATGTGACTTGCACAGCCTTCCATAAACACTTCCTGTAAAGAGAGCCCTATTTAGGCTTTCTGTATTGCAAGTTCTGTTTAATTAAGATTTTCTTATCCTCTGCTATGTTAATAGCTTGCTAGACCCTGCAAGAGCCTCCTGTACATAGGCGTGCACAGCCTATTGCATTAGGGCGTGCACCCTAAAGCACAAACACACACCACATGTGTGTGTGTGTGTATATATATATATATATATATATATATATATATATACACACACACATACATACATACACTGCTGTGAGTGCTGTGTGTTTGTGAGGGTGCTGGTAGTGTGATATGTGGGTGAGGGTGTTTGTGTGTGTTTGTGAGGATGCTGTTAGTGTGCTGTGTGTTAGTGTGCTGGTGCTGTGTGTGCGTGTTTGTTCGGGTCCTGTTAGTGTGTTTGTCAGGGTGCTGTTTGTGTGTTTGTCAGGGTGCTGTTTGTGTGTGGGTGCTGCGCGGGTGTTGTGTGTGGGTTTTGTGTGTTTGTGAGGATGCTGTTAGTGTGCTGTGTGTGTGTGCTGTATGTGTGTAGGTGCTGTTTGTGTGTGTGTGCTGTATGTTTGGGTGGAGGTGGGGGCAGATTAGTTAATATCCCCGTCCTGCTGCCTTCCCTGGTGGTTCAGTGGAGAATGAACTCTAGCCCGGGTTCTCTGCTGCCTCCCTCCATGCTGCTCTGGACTGGTGAGGTAGATCTTTGATCTCCCCACCAGCCCATGGAGGCTTAGACCAGAGCCGCCGCTCAGATAGCGTCGGCTTTGCATGAGCCGACCGGGGAGATCCAGAGATCTCCCCTGCCGGTCTCAATCCATTGGCGTGCCGCAGGGATTAGGGTGTGCCCAGACACACCCGACACACCCCGTGCGCACGCCTATGCTCCTGTATGTGATTAAAGTTCAATTTAGAGATTGAGATACAATTATTTAAGGTAAATTACATCTGTTTGAAAGTGAAACCAGTTTTTTTTTTCATGCAGGCTCTGTCAATCATAGCCAGGGGAGGTGTGGCTAGGGCTGCATAAACAGAAACAAAGTGATTTAACTCCTAAATGACAGTGAATTGAGCAGTGACATTGCAGGGGAATGATCTATACACTAAAACTGCTTTATTTAACTAAAGTAATTTAGGTGACTATAGTGTTCCTTTAACCATTGCCAGTTTATTTTTACCTGGCACTAGACTTTCCTCCTCCATACTTCATACCTGGCTAGTACCTGTCTCCCAGACTAATTTTAAAGATATTGGCACTTATATATACATATATTGGAGTGATATAAATTTACACATCCATTTATATTTTCATTGGTTTATATCTTTGTGATTATGGTAAGGTACTACTATCCTGCCTCTATCTAGGGATTATAATGTTAATAATTATTTTTATATATTATTCCTTCTTCCCTCTTGCTTTGATGAGGCATTGAGTATTCTACCTACCATACAGGCTTTATCTTTCTCTGGGATTTTTTGTGGTTTTGTATGCAACAGACTCTATCTCATTAAGGATACAGCATATTTAACCATTTGTGAGCCAATTTATTAAAGCTCATTTTATTTACCTATCCCTCATGTTAACCCCTTCCGAGCTGTTGCATATATATAGGCATAGGAACTTACCTTACGAGGTGGTTAGTTATTCGCATTTTTCTTTTGGTGTATTTTACCTTAATCAAGATTATTTTTCCTACTGCAGTACTCGTACCATTATACTCTATATGACTACAGATATATCCAGGCGATACAGTGATTCTCACCCTGTTCTTAGATGAGGGTCTCTGTATAATATTCGTTTCTTATCTTTTTCCATTGTCAAACCAAGACTCATTTTCAGTCGGTCGATTATCCATATTTTTCAGAATGACCCAAGTTATGCATTACTCACTGTGTTCACGACTAAGTGGTGGCTACCTATCTTTGACCTTCTTGCTAGTTTGCTAGTGCTCTCTCTCAATCTGTTGCAACCTCACAATTCTGTCTCCTCCACTACAGTGGCTTGCTGGATCCGTTGGCTTCTATCCTTGGCGGTCTCTGAGAATTTGTTTGCCGCACACTTAGTTCAGGGTGCTGCGGCTTCCTCTGCTTTTTCATAGGGGTATGACCTTTCCGACATTTTGTCTGTGATATAGTGAAGTGGATCATTAAGGGAAAATTCCACCAGATATGAAGATATGTACCAGGGGTAAGTTGTGAGCATAACTTATTTACAGATATGTGGTAATTGTCAGTGGTTTGTTGATTGTTAAAGGAACACTCTTATGACCATAACAATTTATGCTCAGTGCACGTAGATAGGATGCAAGGGTGTCCCCTGTTATTGCCCATTCTCTTTCTAACACCAAGTAAGAACTTTTACTTACTCCTTTGCTGTCCAAATCCATCCACTTCTCACAGTAGGAATGGTGCCTGAGGGCTAAATTACATATCCGATTAATCTCTGCTGGGCAGAGGTTTATCAGATAAGATCAGACCACATGGACCAAAATGAAAGGCTCCTTGACTTGCTGGTCTGGAACAGTGGTTACTGCAATTTGCCTATACAAATGCCGCAGATTCATGAACTTTAAAGGCAAGTATGTTTGGTTGCATATTTTAATGATTTGTCAATATTATGCAATAAAATAAATAAGGGACACTTCCAGTCTGCCCCTTTAAGCCAACCATACTGTAACATACTTATATAATCAAATACAATCTGTAATGTCCAATTTCAGAATAGGTATGTTGAGTAATTTTTGTCATTTTATCTCAAATAGCCTTCCACACATCCCCTCCCCATTCCTAACAACACCTCTTTTTTATATATATATTTTTAGATGATAGGCAATCGAAGAAAAGATTAATCATTAAATAGCCAGGAGCATCACGGGAACAAGCTTAGAGCATGACAAACATTTGGTGTATCAAGATTAGCCATCACTGCTCTTTTAGATATATTTTCGTATTTCACGCATACGGAGTGTCATTAACTCATTCGCCGCTGTACCTCTAATATTATGATTTTTGCTAAGGAGAGACAGAGTGAGAGTTCCTTACTCTGTCACGGTTCCTTACATCTATTTATTTTGCTGTTGTAAAAAGTTGGTATTTTTTCTTTCATTTCTCCTATTTTTCTAAATCACTGACTTCTGAATGACACATTTGACCAAAGGAAGTGACAATATATGGCACCATCATAACCTTGCTCAGAAACATTTGTTAAAATGATGTATAGTGCTCAGAACACTAGAATGGAATTGTATGATGTGTATCGCAGTGTTTTCAAAAGCACTGTGTATGGCATTGTAACCTGTGTTTTTACTCCATCATGTCACCCAAACCAACTGCATTCCATCTAGTGCAGGAATTGTGTGCTTGAAATATATTGACACTCTCCCTCTAATCTAGCTCAAATTTACCACTCGCATAAAAGTCTTAATATATCCTAAAGGAAGCATACCTAAATAACACCTTTCTTCTCCTGTACAGGCTAGAAGTAACATTCTATATCTGCCAAATGTGACCTACTCACAGTTTGAGTGGAATATTGAAAACCCACAGCTAATATAAACACACACTCCCTTCCATCAGAATAGTATATATACTAATCCATGGGTAGGCAACTTTCATAACACCAGATATTGTGGACCATATCTCCTATAATGCTCTTATAGTCATAATGCTGGTAAAGCTTCAGGGGAGATGTAGTTCACATCTGTAGTGCCGAAGGTTACCTACCACTGCCCTAATCCATAATGGCTTGTATGATATGGCTCTATAAATAAACCACTTTATAATTACAAGCCACACTTAAAGGACCACTATAGTGCCAGGAAAACATACTCGTTTTCCTGGCACTATAGTGCCCCGAGGGTGCCTCCACCCTCAGGGTCCCACTCCCGCCGGGCTGAATGGAGAGGAAGGGGTTAATCACTTACCTTTTCTCCAGCGCCAGGGCTCCCTCGGCGCTGGAGACTCCCCTCCCCCTTTACCCGTCATCGGTTGAATGTGCATGCGCGTCAAGAGCCGCGCGCGCATTCAGCCAGTCCATAGGAAAGCATTCTAAATGCTTTCCTATGGACGCTGGCGTCTTCTCACTGTGAAAATCACAGTGAGAAGCGCGGAAGCCCCTCTAGCGGCTGTCAATGAGACAGCCACTAGAGGCTGGATTAACCCATTAGTGGTGCCTATAGTGGTCCTTTAATTCAATGTGGATTGCTATTGCATAGTACTTCACTTAAAGAACTATCTCATTTAAGTTTATAAAGAACATGTTTTGGCATTACTTGAGCCCCACAATTGTTTTTTATTACCTATTTGATGACTTTGTGCTACAAAGTAATCAAAAAAACAAAATCAAAATATTATGGATAGGCAAATGAAATATTCTTATTACACATAAAGTGTCAACATGAATCTGTGGTTACAAGGTAGCTAACAAAATTGCCATGTACAATGAGCCATCTGGCCTTTGCTGGCAGAGCATCATGGGAAATGAAATTCGTAAACACCACTGCCATAAGGTGTGTAGCTGCAGTGGTGCCCAAAGACATCTCAATTTTAATGCTGTAAAGACAGCTCTGACTGCTATTAGACATGGCACAAGCTATAGTTACGCTGTTAGATCATTTTTAGAATGTTAATACTCCAATCAGGAGCCATATTTCAAAAACTCCTACTACCTTCAAATTCCTTTTAGTTAAATCACATTATGAGCACACACCTGTATATATCATGTAAATAAAATTGTTTTATATAAAAGGAAATCAACACTCAAG